GGGGGGGGGGGGAGGGGGGGGCGCCTGCGGGATGAGCATGCCGAGGACGAGGACGAGGACGGCGAGCAGGGCGAAGACGCCGAACCCGAAGGCGAGCTTGTTGGCCTGGGGGGTGGCAGGGAGAAGTGAGCGGGGCGAGGAGCTCGGGCGGCGGGCAAACGAGTGGCAGGGTGGCAAAGCGCCTTTGCGACCGTCGCCTCGGCCTTGACGCGCGCCGACGTCTCCTCGGCGAGCTTGGCCTCCATCTCGGTGGCGCGCGCCGAAGTCTCCTGCGGAATGGCGAGCGAAGGGGCGTGCGGTGGTGTGGCCGAGTGGCGTGCGGTGATGTGGCGAGGGCGAGGGGGCGCGCCCCGGCTTGGCGGTGCGGGAGGCCTTGAGGATGCGGTTGACCTTGATGTGCTCGAGCGCAGACGTGGCGACGCCGACGGCGAGGGCGTTGTTCTCCTGTGACAAGTGGAAGGGGGGGGGGGGGGGGAGTAGGAAGTGTGGTCGTCTCGAGGGTGAGGCAGAGCGCGCTCTCCTGCTGCAGCTCGTTGATGCGCTGCTCGGCGGCGGCGGCGGCGGCCGTCTCGGTCATGCGCGCAAGCCACTCCATCTCGGCGTCGGCCTTGAACTTGCAGACCTTCCGCTCGAGCGCCTCCTTGACGCCGACGAGCGCGGCGGTGGCCGCCTTGTCCTTGGCGCGGTCGCCGAGGATGTTGAGCGCCAGCTGCCCGCAGCACAGGACGATCCGCCAGTACGAGTGCTGCTTGGAGAGGGCGAGCTGCCGCTTCTTCTGCTCCTCGAGCTCGAGCCACTCCTCCGGAGCCGCGTCCGTCTCCTTGAGCCGCTCCTCCTCCTTGAGGTTCGCGAGGAGCATCGCCTGCGCGACCTTGATGACGCCGCACGCGTACTGGCGCACCATGTAGACGAGCGCAGCGATGTTCTGTGGGCGAGGCAGGTGGTTCAGACCCCACGCCTGGGTGTTGTGCTGTGTGTGTGTGTGTGTGTGTGTGTGTGTGTGTGTGTGTGTGTGTGTGTGTGTGTGTGTGTGTGTGTGTGTGTGTGTGCGGGGGCGGGGGCGGGCGGGGGCGGGGGCGGGGACGGGGGCGGGGGCCTTCGACGCGTCCTCGTCGGGCGTGAGAGCGTAGACAATATTGCAGATCTGCTTGTCCGGCACGAACCCGCGGAGCTTCTCGAGCGCGCCGTTGACCGGGTCGAGCTTGGCGCGCCTCTCGAGCGCTTTGGAGCGGGCGGGGCGCGCGTGGGCCCCGCGCGCCGCCAGCGCGTTCGCGGCCTGCTCGAGCGCGCCGTCGGAGGTGGCGGGCGCGGTCTCCTCCTCCTGCATGCAGGCCAAGTGGGTCAGTGCGCAAGAGGAGCGCGCGGGCAGGGCGCGCGGGCGGGGCGCGCGGGCGGGCGCGGGCGGGGGCGCGCGGGCGGGGCGCGAGAGGGCGAGCCTTGGCGCCGGGCTTGAGGATTTCGCCGTAATCGGCGACGCCGGGTGGCACCTTCGCAGCGCGATGGCGGCGCGGTGAGAGGAGGGACGTGCGGGATGCGGCTGGCGCGATGGCGCGTGATCACGGGTGTGGGCGTGAGCGTGTGCGTGTGGGTGGGCGATACGGACCGCGGTCACGATGCCTTCGGACTTGACGGGCGAGATGAGCTGCTCCTTGCGGCCGTCCTGCTTCAGAGGGGAGGGAGGGGTCGAGCGATGCGTCGGAGGCGGCGGGGTGGGGAGGCGGCGCGGCAAGAGGGCGGGCTGGGCTGGGAGACGTCGCGCGTGTGGTGGGTGGTGATGCGAGGGGTGCGGGCCGCGCCGTGGTTGCGTTGGCGCGGGAGGCGATCGACGGGATGGGCGTGAGCGGAGACATATATATACATGTCTGCGCCTTTGGCTTCGCGGTGCTCAAACAACAGCAGGCCTCCATTTCTTATTCGCATTTTTTTCATGTCTTCTGTTTTATTTTTTCATGTGAGAGAGTGCGTTAATAAATAAATAAATAAATACAACGGACATCCCAAGCTAGGGCTGGGTCGAGGACAGACACGTCCCCACCTTTGCAGGATTTTGCAAAAGCGAGGGGGGAGGGCGCGTCGCCGCGCGGAGAGGGCTGGGCACAGGGCACAGGGGATCTCTCTCGCATAGGATATGCACTCGGCGGCACGAGGGCAAGGCTGGGCGTCCTACATGTATGTTTGTGCTCCCCCCCGACCCCTCCCTCGCTCTCGGGCACTAACCATCTGACCACTCATCGACGGGGCTTGGCGAGCGGCCGCGCTGCGGGGCAGGGCTGGTGAGAATGGGCTCTGGCCACTCGCCCGTAGGCGCCCGAGCGAACGACAGGCGGCACGCGAAGACTGGTTGCAATCCCGCCGACCGCCAGGCCGCGGGATGATGCGTGCGTGGTCTTGTAGTGGGTCTCGGAAGCTCTCCTCTCGGGCTAGGAGCCAGCCCCTCTCCCTTGCCCCCGGAACACTGTGTCCGAGTCGAGGCGTGTGCTTGCTGGTCGACGGCCGCGCGCGGTTGGCATTGTGACGAAGGTTGCGCGCGGCCGCGGCGCGCCCGCCATGGTTCGGCGCGGCGCGCCTACCAGCGGCAGTTGTCGAGGCACGGGAACGCTTACCCGGGGTCATCCTCTGAGCCTGGTCGTCGGCGCCGCGATGCCACGGCGGCGCATTCGACGTCGTCGGCGCGCTGCCCCGCGTTGAGCCCCGCCGCTCGTAGCGACGGCCGCAGGTTGGCCCGGTGCAGCGCGCCCTGGCCGCAGACTGAAGAACGGCCACGAGGGGTGTGTGATGTGCGGTGCGGGGTGTGAGGGGGCAGCGTCTTTGTGTGTGCGCGCGCGCGCCGCTGCCGGGAAAGAGCGGGGCCCTCGGGGTACGCCTCGCCCGGCCCCCTCCGAGGGGGTCGTGACCTGAACTGGAGAGAGGGGGGTCGGCCTTGAGAGCGTACGGGTTGTCTCACCGCGCCAGAGCTCTGCCTCTCCTCTCGGGGATTGAACTGAGGGATAGGGGCGGGGATCCTCCCTCTTCCCGCCGTCGATGCCGGGGCTCAACCAATCCGGAGAGGTCCTTACCATTCCTCCATACATCCTCCCGGCTTCATCGGCGGGCGTCTGGGAGTGTGTCGTCAACTGGCCGGTGGTCTTTCAGTGTGGTGGGGTGGGTTTCGTGACCGTTCAGCGTCGATGCCGCCTTACTTACCTGTTCCCCGCTGGCGCAGCCCCGCGCCGTCCAGCGGAGCCACTGCCCCCTCGGTCACCACCCCCGCCGGCGCGACACGATCCGATCGACGCCGCCGCCGACGGGGCCGCCGGCACGGAGTATATCCCGTCCTCGCCGGTCGGGGTGTCGGTCGCAGGAGGATGGCACGCCGGGACAGCCTTGCACACGCCCGGTGGGGACAGGAAGACACCTCCCCCGCGCACCTCCCCCCTACTGCGTCGCCCGCCGCCGCGCCTCGCCGCCGCGCCACGCCACCGCCTCGCATCGCCAAGTACCGTGCTCAGCACTGCGTCGCACCTATTTCGGAGTGAGGGCCAGAGTGCGTTATGTTCTTGTTTCGTATCCGCTTCGTATCTTTTTTCTTCTCGTCCAGTCCTGTGCCCAGTGTCGTGCGAGGGAGTTTTGTTGTAAAATTCTTCTCGTCCTTGTTGCCTTCGATCGACTGCGGCAGGTAACTCGAGGAGTGGTCGTGCTGTTGCCCGGGCATGCACACGCGGGCATGCTCCTGCCGGCGCTGCCTCGCGTGCGCCGCCAGCGGGTGCGACCGGCACATGTCCGCCGAAGACGCGCTCGCCGCGGCGGCCGCGGAGGGGCTCGACCTCGTGCGCAGCACGAAGAACACCTCCAGCTTTGTGGGCGTCTGCTTTCGTGACAACTCACATGTCCACCCATTCTACGCGGCCGACTACACCACCGCGAGCAACGGCAGGACGGCGCGGACGATTCTGGGCTTCTTCGCCACGGCGGAGCAGGCCGCGCTCGAGAAGGCCAGGCACGCTCGCCGCATTTGCAAGCGGGTCGGAAGCGGTCGCGCCAACTTTGCCCGCTCCCACCCGCCGAACGGGAAGCGGCCCGCCGAGACGTCTACTGCACAGGCTGGCGCCGCGTCGCCGATCCCGGCCTGGTGGACCTACAGCAGCGTTGAACGCACTGCGATTGAAGCGATGAGCAAGAGCCAAGTCGAGCAAGCCGCGGCCGACGAGGGGCTCGTGCTCGAGGCGAACAGGATCGACCCGTCGCGCTACAAGGGCGTCATCGAGCGGAGGGGCGCGGGCGGCGCCGTCGTCTACTCAGCGTACTGGCAGCCGTGCGCAAGCGACGCTCGGCGCCTCGGCTTCGGTGGGTGTGGCATGCGCTTCGGGGTTTGGACCCGGCCGGAGCACGCCGCGCTCGCGCTCGCACGGGAGAGGAAGCGCGCCTTCGAGCGGGCGCCGCCGGCGGTGGCGGAGCCGCACGCGCCCGATCCTCTGGGTTGCGCAGCGCCGCATCGACGCATGCCGCAAAGCCCAGCAAGCGCTGCGCCCGGCCGCGACCCGCAGTCCCCGCTTCGAAGCCCTCTGAGGGATCTCTCGCAGCTGGCCGACGACCGGCTCGCCACCAGGCAGGAGGCGGATCTATGAGTTGCTGTATGTTTGCGTAAGCGTGTCCCGTTTGAGCAAACGTTTGTCGTGGCATCTCGTGCCGTGTGTCCGCGCGACGACGGCTGTGTGTGTGTGCGCATGTGGATGTGCGACCGCGCGCGGTGATTTTCTAGACCGATCTGCCCTGGCCGAGTGTAGTGTCTAGACTGCAATGCAAAAGACCCGCGCATGCGCATCGCACACACGATGCCGTGGCCCGTGCGCACTCCTGTCACCTCCCGCCCCCAGACGCATATATATGTCGCACATGTGTGACCTGTGCGCATGAGCCATGACGCTCAAGCGTCAAGGGTCAAGCGCCTCTCCCAGAACGCTCACCGCCCGACACACCCCTGTCTCTCTCGCGTGCGCCCGGGACAACGGGACAACGCTCGCCTGTCTCCTACCTGTACCTGTATCGCACCCCTATTCCTGTACCTGTGCCTGTGCCCCCCCCCCCCCCGCCCCCACTCGCGCCCCAGCCCTCTCGCCAAGCCGCCCCGTGTTCAGGACGACTCCGGCAGCGGCACGTCACTCGATTGGCCAAACAGGCGAGTGTTGGAGTCGTCAAACCACCGGAGAAAAGCGTCCCCACTGCGCCGCATAGCGGCCGCCTCTGCCGAAGAGCAGCCCCCCGAAGAGCCGGTCGAGAGCCCAGTGGACGGCTGCTGATTCCCCAGGACCAAGGGCACCAGCGGCGTGCGAGGGAAGTCGGAATCGGAAGAGGCGGAGGCAACCTAAAGACGCGGGCTGGAGACGTGAGGGGGGCATGCAGGGGGCTGGCTCTAGGGAATGCTCACGACCTGCGGCGGCGGCGAGCGAAGCGGCTCCGCACTGCCCGCCTCCGCAATTCCCGCACCCGCACTGCCCGCCTCCGCCGCCGCCGCGGCCTCCGCCGCCGCCTTCTCCTCTTCCGCGGGCGGCTGCGGCTGCGGCTGCGGCTGCGGCTGCGGCGGCGCCGGTCCTGTCGCAAAGGCAGCAGCCCGTGTCGCGACGGTGAAACGACGCAGCGATGCCATGACTGTCGCGAGTTCGGCCTCGGCGACGGCGTCCTCCGAGGCGGACGAAGGCTCCGCCGCCGCCGCCGCTCGCTTTGCCGCCTTGGCCCGCCCCTGCCGGCCTCGCGCGACGGCCTGCATAAGGCTTGCCGACCGCTCCTCCTCCTCCTCCTCCTCCACCACCACCACCACCTCCTCCTCCTCCTCCTCCTCCTCCTCCTCCCCCTCCTCCACCTCCTCCTCCTCCTCCTCCTCCTCCTCCTCCTCCTCCTCCTCCTCCTCCTCCTCCTCCTCCTCCTCCCCCTCCCCCTCCCCCTCGCCCTCCCCCTCCCGCTCGCGCTCGCCCTCGCCCTCCTCCTCCTCCTCCTCGTCCTCCTCCTCCTCCTCCTCCTCCTCCTCCTCCTCCTTCTCCTTCTCCTCCTCCTTCTCCTTCTCCTTCTCCTTCTCCTTCTCCTCCTCCTCCTCCTCCTCCTTCTCCTTCTCCTTCTCCTTCTGCTTCTGCCTCTACGTCCTAGCACTCGTCGCACCAGCATCCCGACGTAGACCTTGACCATGAGCCAGATCTCGATCTTGACCTTGACCATGACCTTGACGGTGAGGGTGAGGGTGAGGGCGAGGGTGAGGGTGAGGGTGAGGGTGAGGGTGAGGGTGAGGGTGAGGGTGAGGGTGCCTTGAAGTGC